TCTGTGCTTGTGTATCTCGTTGAATGAATTCAGAACCAGCTCTGCTGCTGTGGCTGGTTCTGAATGCGTTCAAAAGACCTTATCCATCTTAGAGACTAGGGCAGACTGTCAAGTGTCAGGAAAGTGACATACTTCAATGAAAAGAAGGTACTAAAAGCTAACGTGGGAATTCCGGTTCCTTCTGGCATCAAGAGGCGATTGACTCATGTTTTTCTTTTCTGGCTAAGGACTGAATAATGAAAGGCCAAGTGCGGCTGTGATCCAGATCCCCTGCGTGCCAGGGAGCCCTGACCTTACCTCGTGCCCTGCTATGATGGAAAATGGTAACGGGAAGCTTTGGCGTCAGCTGCCTGAGAGCCTGCATGATTCTGACTGATGTACACAGCCGTGCTGGGGAGGAGGTGGGAGCTGAATTGCTAGTTATTTTTCTTTTCAACTGTTTGTGTTGAGAAGCCATCATAAGCTGTGAATTTACTATTTAGAATCCAACCCAGGACAGCTCACCTGGTGCTTGACTTGAGCTGGTCAAGTAACATGTTGTAGAGCAATAGGAATGAAGAGGAGGGAGGGGCCTGGGCTGAAGTGCAGGATCACACCCTTCCCAGCCTCCCCTGCAGTCCCTACTGAGGTGCTGGCCTGGCCCCGCCCACCTGCCTGCCAGAAGCCCTTCACTAAACACGGAAGACGGGAAGCCTGAGGGCCAGACAGCATCGCCATCAATGGGCAGGATCTCATAAGGTTCATGTACTCAACCTGCACAGTGGACACATGACCCCCCTACAAGGCAGCCGACTCTGGGGGGTGCCCCAAAGTGAGGGGGTGTGTCCAATGTGCAGATACCCAGAAATGCCAAGGCTGGAACCATCCCTGCTTTACCACCCAGCAGACCGGGAAGCAGAAGTGATGGCAACAGGGTGTGAGAAAAGTGGGAAAAGCAGTTTCTGGTCTTTCAGTGGACAATAATTATCAAACAGAAGAATCCCTCTTTTTCAAATAGAAAAAGATAAAAGAGAATGGTTTCAAAGGCCCAGTCACTCACCAGACTTTTCTTGAAACCACAGAGAGGAAAAGGCACAGTCAGGATATTTATAGTTGGCAAACACTCCGTGTCCCCACGTGGCCCAGAAAGCAGGGTGTTGTGAGGGCAGTGGGATGAGGGAGAGCTGTAGCCAACCTCTGTCAAAACTTTGCCCCCTCTATACAGGTATTGGGCTTATGGAGGGAGACCTGAGTGTTCTTATAAATGCTTTATAATGTAAAAGTGGACTCGGCAGAACAGGAAGGGTGCAATACAGGTATCTTTCCATTTATTTTCTTATCCCTTGCTATGCCCACACTCAGAAAATAAACCCCCTTCCCCTCCTCAAAAGTCAATACAGTGCCCACATGGAATCTGTCGAGTTTACATTATAAAGAATCCCTTCACTTCACATATGCAGCTATAAAGAAGAGAGATCCCCTTCCAGCCAATACAAAACAGCATACACGCTCCTAGAAAATATACATGATGGCAGGGGCAGACCGCTGCAGCAGAAGGGCTCAGCTTTCTCTGAGAATTCAGCTAGAGGCCATTTTCTCCCCTTGGTTGGGGTGTTGCTCCTGGGACTTTGGCTGGGTCCTCAGAAGGCTCTGGCCGCCAGTGGTGGAAGAGATACCAAGTCACTTGTGATTTCTGAGGAGCCACGGAAAGGTATTACCATGACAATCGCCATCAGTTCTGCTCAAATTGAGCAATAACGTTTGCAGAAGCCTCAGTAAAACAAGGTTCAATTTCAAGGAGAGAGAGAGAGAGAGAGCAGGAGTAAGGTTATGTGAATGGTGGACATTCTTAGGGGCAAAAATATGGGATATGACAATGAAAGCTTTATCCACAGGGAGGGAGGTCCTTGACAGGCCTACAGGAAAACTCACACGTGGTTCTCTTGGCCTGAGCCCCTGACCACAGCCCCGCAGGGGGACGTAGGCCTTATTCCGATGTCAACCCGTTTCAGGTCAGGCCCTTGCTTTGCTGTCAGGGGAAACCCTGGCTAACCCTACCAAAGTGATAGGAGAGCTGAATTCTCTGTGCCCTTCATGAGGAAAGGGGGAGAACAGAGTTAGAAAGCATGAGCATACGAGCAAGAGAAAGCATTACCTGGACCTCAGCAAACGTGACGAAGGCCAAAGGAGGGGGGTGTGAGCCTGTCCCATAAGCAGGAGAAAGGGGAGAGGAAATGGGCATGGCAAGCTTAGAAGGATGCTAACAAAAGAGAGAGTGTGCATGGAGAAGGATGAGCAAGTACCATTTACATTTTGGAGAGAAATGAATAAAAAGTTCAAGAAGTGAAATCACTAAAAGCAAGCAATGGGGCTTCCCTGGTGGCGCAGGGGTTGAGAGTCCGCCTGCTGACACAGGGGACGCGGGTTCGTGCCCCGGTCCGGGAAGATCCCACATGCCGCGGAGCGGCTGGGCCCGTGAGCCATGGCCGCTGAGCCTGCGCGTCCGGAGCCTGTGCTCCGCAACGGGAGAGGCCACAGCAGTGAGAGGCCCGCGTACCGCAAAAAACAAACAAACAAAAAAGCAAGCAATGGTTCATAACGCTCAATCCATCACAATACACGTGGACCCCAGAACCAGGGGATTTCTGGGGTACCCTGCACTGTACCTGGTCTGAGGACCAACAGAGAGGCTTCGGCTCCGGGGCTGTTAAGGCTTCCCCCGCCACAAACACCAAAGCTACCACTGCCACGTTTCAAAGGGCACAAAGAAAGAACAAGACAGATGACAACCCTCCAGCCCGTCGTCACTGCTCTGGATCTGAGGAGACACAGCTGGGCTGTGGACATGTGGCAGGCGTGCAGAGGCTTCCTTGAACACACACCTCCTTCCCACTGGCACCAACACAGGCCAGGTGTGTGTGCACAACAACCATGCCTTGGAAACCAGCCTGTGTCCAACTTTTCGTGTACATTATGTCTCAACACACATTTACTCCATATTCGGACTTCATGACGTGATGGAGAATGGAAGCATAAGGAAGGGGATTCACGTTTACTGATCGCTCACACTCGGTAAGGCTCTGGGCTAAGCCCTTGACACGCAGTATTTTGTCTCCATGTCAGAGATGAGAAACGGAGGTTAAGAGGGTTAATACTTTGCTGTGTTGCTCTAGGCCATGAAACTGGTAAGTGGAGGAGCTGGGCCTTCCTGGCTCCACAGCCCACCCCCTTCCTCCCACTCTACCCTGTGACCCCAATGAACTCCGTTCTTTCCCAAGAGGACGTGGCTCCTTTCCTATATGCTCCTCTCTCCTTGTCCTTTATTTCTTCAAAGAGAGACAACGTATTTTACTGAGATCAAAGTAAAGGAGAAGAACAATATGGTGAACAATGTACACAAATGAGTTGGAAAAATGAAAAGGGAACTTGACTTTAAAAACTCAGGGGTAAGATTTATCTCTAACATGAAAAGGTGGACCTCCTTAGGAGGAAGGCAGACTTTGGTGCTTCTCCCCTTGAAGGAGGAGGAAGAGGAGCTGGGAGCCCCCTTATTAGAGCCAGAGTTGCCTTTATTTTTATCTTGCTATGAGAGTCCACACAGGGACCAGATGCTTGGAAAAATGTCATACTTTTGTGAAATCCCCTTGGGAACAACAGTTCAGAAACGTCTGATAGGAGGTTTCCTTGTGAGGGGCACAGGTGACTCCACGTGACTCTAATGCGGTAAATACACTGGTGCACATAAGGACAAAGGACACTGGAATTGTCCTGGCTGCCAGCTCAGGGTCACAAGTCACATTCAGCCTGGTTCTCCTTTGGAGGGTCCCCCATAGCTGGGGCAGCAATGGACACAGTCTACTTCCAGGTTCTGGGAGGTCTCAAATTCTTAGCACAGCTGGGGACCTTTCATCTCTCCTCCCACTCCTGGCCACCTGAGGAACATTCCTTCTTAACTCTTACCCCATTTCTTTCTCTGCCAGATGGATACGGACGGAAGCTGACAGTGTCTGGGGAGAAGGTGGGACAGATGATCCCTATTTGACCACTTGGCTCTGGGAAGGTCAAGCCTACGGAGGTGTTTTGCTCCTTCCCTTTTGTAGCTGTCATCCATGACAGAAGCTCCCAAATGCTTTCCTTGTGCCCCATCACACAGTGTAGCTCGTCTTGCCTAGAACACTTGGCTTCTCTTGTACTCAGAAGGCTGGAGGGTATATTCTATTGTGCCATCCGGCAAAGGGTGAAGCTGCTCTGACAGTGGAACAAGGTACGGACAGAGCCCAGAAGGCTGTCATTCATCTTCTGGGGCCCTCTACCCACTAGCTCAGGGAAAACGCTCTGACAATATGTCTACTTCCTAGCTACACCCTGGAGGGCTAGGAAAGCCCTTCCCTGGATCAGTGTTCAGAAAAAAAAAAATCCCCTAACGTAATGAACATGGTTAGTCACCTGAATGGTTTAAGACTGTTTTCCTAAGTGTGTTACCAAGGAAAGTTGGGAAAGTCTTTCCTTCTGGAGTTCATCATATTAACACGCTTCTTATGTCCTTGGGATAGCTCTGGGGTACTTCTGCTTATAAGCAGAGAATCTCCCCACACCCAGGACCCTGTGATTCCCCAACTCTGCTCTACCCGCTGCATTTTTCTTTCAAGCTGATCCTTTGTTTGACAGAATCAAGAAATGAAAGGGTACCTTGGCTGTCCCTGGGTCCCGTGCCGAGCCCATGGGGGCACACAGGTGAGTGCCTGCCCAGGCTCACTCATCTCGAAGGGAGGAATGCCAAGGCCTTTGGCTTCTCCCTAGAGACTCGCTCTGCTCCTCCTTCACCAGTCCCACGACTCAGGGCGTGGGAGCTGAGGCTGTAAGGCCCTCAGGAGCCCTGTCGAGGGGTAACTGGGAAGCAGACTCCCAGGGCAGCGTTCATGGGCACCACTGAGTGAATTGGCCCTGGAGAAGCCCTCAAATCAGCCGTCTCAGGAAGGAAGGAGGGAAGGGAATTGAACGAGAAAAAAAGAGTTACTTACGCCAGAGCAAAGGCCACCAGTGCACCAACCACTACCACAAAGTCGAGGATGTTCCACAGGTCTCGGAAGTAGGACCCGTCCTGCAGGATCAAGCCCTGGTCTATCATCTGCAGGAGGAGGATGTGAACAGCCACCAATGAGCCCGGGAGGTGCCGGTCATACGTGCCCTGAGCTCTGGGCTCCCCATGGCAATGTCCCCACTGCCACTGCCTCTAAAAAGCAACCCACACGGGGACCCAAGAAGCAGGAGGACAGGTCCCGCAGGCTCTGTCCACCTAACTGTGAGGCCCAAGGCCCTTCTCATAGCCACCAGGGTTCACTTAGACTCCCTGGCTCCTCGAAAGCCGCCACATCCCTCCTTACGTTAGTGGCTCAGAGCCCCAGGCATCGCCACATACGCACAGACGAGAAAAATCTCAGATGGGTGAGACTGGGAATAAGATGGTAACGTGGGGTGTTCTAGTGGCAGGGAAGAGAGTGGAGGGCAGTGAGTACGGTTGGGACTAAATGAGGCCAGGAAGACATCTCTACCTAACCCCCTGCCTTGGCAGGTACCCAGGCTCAAACCAGGAAGCGTGTTGGGGAGGTGAGAACAGTCCCCACGCCTGGAGCACCTCTCCTGCCTGCCTGAGAGGGGGCCCGCCTTCTCCCCGGGCCATGCCCACAGGTCGGCACCAGTCTAAACAGATCCCCACAGTCACGTCCTGCCACGACAGACCTCACTGGGATCTGAGGCTGGAGGAGGGGTCAGCAGAGGCGCCACTGAGATTCTGACATTGATCAGGAGGTGATAGTCCCGGGGAAGGGCACCAGACTAGAGAGGCAGACAGGTGGCCCATCCAAGCCCCAGAGCCCAGGTTTGCTCTAGAGGCTCTTACCTTTATAACCATCTCAAAGGTGAAGACGCCAGTGAAAACATAGTCAAAATACCTCAGCACCTGTAAGACACATAAGGTAGAGACCACCAGGCTACACACACCCCTCAACACAGGCTCTCCTGCACGCCCACCCCAAGCCCCGCTCACTTCTACCTTGGAACAGAAGCTCGGAGTTGTAACTGCTAATCAGACGCAGGGAAGAGAGGAGCCGTGGATCCTGCTGGGGCCCCATGACCCGCTGGCCAGTCCTTGGCCCTTCCCTCCCCTGTGGTCAGAACTTAATGTCTTGGGTCCGAACCGCCCCCCAGGTCTCTCCCGCCCTGGGATCCTTGTCCGTTCCAATCCTCCCCACCCCCTTGACCCCTCCTGACATCCACCCTGGCCCTCCAGGAGGTGCCTCAGCTCCCTGGGAGGAGCTGCAGCGCCCTGATGTCACCCACATCACCCATGCCCCTAGGTCAGACCCCACATCCAACCCATGGGTGACTGCAGACCCCCTTTCACGGCCATGGCTGGCTCTGGGTGTAAGGCCCACTGCTGAACGTAAAGGTAAGCAGTATGGTTAGGGTTAGGGTTGCCGGTGGGGACTGGCCTGGGAGCGGTTCACGCTTTGCCCTGAGGACTGGGACCAGGCAATCTCTCAAGCCTCTCTCATTCTCCAGGAACCTTCTTTAGCTCATCTCTAATGTTGGGATGGGAGGGGCTGCGATGGGCGGTACCAGGGTACTACGGGGGCTGGCAGTCAGCCCCCGCGCACCTACTTTGTTGCGCTCCGAGTTGGTCAGGACGGGGTCCTCGGCCGCCAGGGCGATGCTGCTGGCTGCGATCACCAGGAGGATGCACATCTCAAAGTAGCGCAGGTTCACGATGTAGTGGCAGGCCCTGCGGATCCTGTGGGCGGCGGATGAGCCCGCTGAGCCGGCCCCCCTTCCCTCCCATCCCCATCTTTCCTCCCCACCCCCACGCACATCAGCCTCTTCCAGACAGCCAGGCCCTGGCCAGAGGAAGCCAGGGGGAGAGCCATTTAATTTCTCAGGCACCACCCTTGATTGAAAGTGCTGGTGGGGGGAAGGTAATCAGATTGGCTAGAGGCTGCAGTACGCAAGCCAACATACGTTATCTGCAAGCACATCTGAGCTGGGGGGAGCCGCGGCCAGCACCAGGTGACACACGCTCGGGTGGCTACAAGGTACCTTCCACTGGGTCTCAATGTCTACTCCCCAACTGTGCAGAAACTGGGGCGCAGCAAGGAACTCCTAAGAACCAATAAACGTAAAAGCAGACCTTGATCCTAAGATTCCCGATGGAAGCAGCAACAGGCTTCCCTGAGCCTCAGGTATTCTGATTACAGTGACTATTCTATAGACAGCATCCTGGCCTCGGTTGGCCTGACATCTCTTAGCCCCGGTTCCTTCCTTCCCAGGGCCATGCCTGAATACTGCCCACATGGTCACTGAAAGCCTTCTCACCTTCCCAGACTCAGAAGCTGGTCTATGTGTACATCTTGCTCATTTCCAGGGTGGAAGGCAGCTTCTCTTTCAAAATTCCATCTTTCCTAAAGCTAACCTTCCAGATTCTTCCTCGCCAACCCCATCTCATGCCCTGCCTCTGCTCTGAGGGACACACCCACTTCAAAATTCACACGTAGGGCAGCCAACGGATGATCTAGTTATCCAAGCCTCCCTATTCTCAGCTCTGTCCACCTCTGGAATATTTGGTGACACATCCCAAGTAGATTTCCTTCCTTCTCACCACGCGCCACCCCCCCAACCTGCTAACCAAAGAGTAGGTGAAGGGTCCTTCCCTCATGACATTTCTCATTCTGTACTGTCTTAAATTACTCTTTAGACTATGGGCACAGAGTTCCAAGGCTGTTCATTAATTCCATGACTGGCCTCACCTAGTGAGCACCCTGGAGTCTTCAGATGTCTGGCCACATTCCACCAGGAAGGCTCAGGAGGAAGACTGGACCCCCATCCCTCCTTCTCATCACCCCGCCCTGGCTCAAACCTGGGCTGTTTACTCCAGCACCAAAGGGAGGTGGCAATGGAGGGTGTCTTACGGGTTGGTGGTGCTGAAGATGAACATTGAGCTGTGAGGCACCATGGCTTTGCCCGTCTCACGCTTCTCCTTCTTCTGCTGCTTCTTCTCCACTTCCTCCTCATCCTCTTTGATCTCTGCCTCTTTCAAGGGACTGGCTTCTCCATCAGTCTTGCTGCTGACTGCAAAAGGAACGTGTTGAAATCTTCAGAAACCTTGCTACGTGCAGAACGGTGCCCTTCATTTTCCACTGGGGATGGGATGGAGGGGACGGGAGAGGCAGCTAGGCATGTGCCTGGCAAGGTGCCTGAAAACATCGGGGTGTTTGCTAGATTATACTGAGTTAAGCCCTGCTCTCTTCCCAGCCTTACCCCTGCCCTGATTTCAGATGGTATAGCCCTTTTTTTTGCCATATAAATGATAATCATGTTTCCCGGGGTAAAACAGAATGGTTGTTTCTGTTGTAAAGTTTACAAAGTTTATTTATATCTAAACTCTGAACTCTTTGTATATATTCACTTACGGCATTTTTCACATCAGTACACCCTGGACGGCATATATTATTATTCCCCTTCTACAGATGGGAAAACTGAAGTTCAGGGAACTCAAGGACCTATCCTAAGGTCATACAGCTGGCATGGGTTCCCAATTCAAAATTCTACCTCCTTTCAAAGAAATCACACTGCAATGGAAGATTTTAAGAAGACATTACTCTGTTTGTGGCAGCCTTTCTGGCTGTGCTTTTTCCCGTCATGATTAATGTAGAAACAAGAATGCAATATTCACACGAAGATGGGTCCCTGACTTTATCCCAGGATTGAGAGGATGAAGAAGCAGAGACAGAGTGGGGCTGCTGGACCACTACTCTCTGTTTCCTTATGCAAGTCCCAGAGTGGGGTGAGTGGCAGAGAGGATGAGGCTATCAGAGTGGGGCAAAGGAACCTCTCCCACATTCCCATTCACTGAATGCTTCTGCCCTGGTACCTTGTGTAAGTAGCAAACCTCTGAGGTCCTGACCCCTTCCAGGTCCTTCCAAAAGGTAAGTCATCCAAAGTGTCCAAAAACCCTCTGATGACACGCTCTTACCTACGACCAAGGACAGGGACTAGCCCCAGAAAGAGAACAGAGGGGGGTCAAACTTTCTTAATGTTGTGGAGGGCCCCCAAAACTTCATTATTAGAACATAAAATTAAATAAGACAGAAAAAAAGGTTGTGAGTCTGAGATCCTGAGACACGCCCACCCAAGTCAACCCCAGGGGCACCAGATATGCGAGATTTCACTTTTTAAAGTAGTACTGGTACTCTGAAGAATACTTTGAGACATTTTCTTCACTTTGAGAAGGTGAAGAAACAGAGATAGAAGTGGGAGAGAGAAAAACAGGGAGAGAGGACTGTTCTGTGAAAAGAGAAAAATATGGGGAAAGAAAGAGAGGAAAAAAAGCAAGAGTGGAATCCTGTGGTCACGATTCAGTGATGATAAGGTGGATGGTGGGATTAATGCAGAGATGGGTGGGGTTTCAGGGCAGGGATGGGTGTGGGTTAAGTGCTTTTGGGTTGCTTCCGTTTAAGGTCTCACAGGTGAACAACCATTGCCTTTAGGAACTATAAGAGAAAGTGTGACTAAGAGCTCCTAGGAGAAAAAGAGTAGATAAGAGTAATAGATTCATAAAATGTTAGCACAGGGAAAGATCTCAGAGGTCATCCGGTTCGATGCCCTCACTTCACAGATGATAAACTGAGGCCTCGAGAGACACAGGGTTTAGGAGGCTACACACCAAGCACAGCCAGTGCCGGCCCCAGCCCACCTGCCATCTTCTGTTCCAGCAACGGTCCCCAAACTGTCAAGTGGCAGAGCACCTGGGGGGTCCCAGACAATACCGTCAGATATTCATACAATAAATCAAATAGCTGAATATAAAAATGGGTCAAAAATCACGTGTGATCTCTCTGAAGACTCTAGGATGGTCACAGGGGCCAAAGGCCTAAGGACATTTTATGGGCAAAACTTAAGATTGAGAAAATTCTAACTTATTTTTCTTGCAAACTGGGAAAAAAACTGCTGCTGTTTTTTTTTTACATGTTGAAGAGTGGGTTCATCCCTCTGGTGGGGTTTTCTACGCAGCTCTCCAGGGATGACTCCAGAGCCAAGACTCCCCCAGCCCCGGGTACGATGAGCAATGGGGGTGAAGGGGACAGGAACTGTGTTCTCACTGTGCACCACGGTCGAGTCCACCAAGGGGTCCACGTCAGGGATGGCGACGGTGACGCTGGTGCTCTCGGGGGCAGCCCTGTCCGTGTTGGCCGTGGTGCAGGAGAGGTCGGGCTCACTCTGGCTGATGACCCGACCCATGTCCAGCTGCACGTCCCCCAGCAGGGCTTGCTCACTGCTGCCCTCCGGCTCCTGTTCCGTCAGCGCTGCATCCTTCTCCGCTTGCAGCTCTGGTTGGGGCAGGGCGAGGGGTGTGTTGGCCTCGTCGAGGGCTCCTGCCAGCCCGGAGCGTCTGTGCACCATCAGACTATTGGTCCTGTGAAGAGAGAGGGGGACACAGGTGGGGCTCAGATCGAGAAGCTGTTCCGAAACGGCTGATACGCCTGGCGAGAAGCAGAAGTGCGGGGAGCCAAAGCGGCCCTGCTGGAGAGCACGTGGCATCCGGTGCCTCCCACCCCACCCAGCCAGGCAGAGGAGCTAAGGTCCACGGGCAGTATCCGCTGCCTTTACTCCTATCCATTCATCCACTACCCACTCCCAACAGGAGATGCCCTGGTGTTCAGAGGGGTGGACGCCATCGCTGTCATATTTACACACGCCTCGTAAAAGGCGCATTAGCATCACCTCCATTTTACTACAGGGGAAACCGAGGCTTGGAAGGGCTCACGCTGAAGAACCCCTAACTCCAGCCACGCTACATGCCTCGGGCACGCTCCTGCGTCTCATTTACCTCCTTAAGTCCTGGGATCGCTCTTCCTCCTGGATTGTGGGCTCCTTGCCCCCGTGGCTGTCCCTGGGCTCGAGGTCCCTCTCCCCCTCACTGGGCACAGCTTCATCCAGACTCCGCTCCTGGCTGGCAGACCTGCTCCTGGAAGCGGAGGAGGACTCCTTGCCCTCCGTCCTGACGCGGCGGTGCCGGCTGCGCCGCTGGCTCTGCCTGTGCCGGGCCCGGTCCTCGAAGGCCACCACGGTCTCCCCGCCCCCGGCCTCCTGCTGGGTCGGGTCACAGTTCCCATGACAGGGCCTGGCCAGCCAGGGCGGCTCCCGTTTGCCCAGGGACACGGGGCTCCTCTGGTTGTCCAGGGCACTCGACAGGTCCCCTGCGTCCCCCTGGAGGGACCCCCCGCGGCTGACGCGCTCCTCCTCACACTTCTCCAGACCCAGGCCCAGGGCCGGCCCCTCGATGGGCCTGGGTCTCCGGTAGAGGCTGGGGTGGGCATTGAGTGGGTGGAGGGAGCTCAGGGGGTTGAGGGGGTTGAGGGGGTTCATGGGTGGGGCCTCCTCCTTGTTGAGGGCCTCCTGGCTGGGCATCTGCATGTGCCTTCTCAGCTGGCTGGTGCGCTGCTCCCACACCGACATGTGGTGTCGGCGCCTTCGCTCCCTCCTGGCAAAGGGGAGAGGGCGAGGGCTTGGTCAGAGCTGACGGCTAAGGGCCAGGGAGGGCGGCCACGGGGCAGAGGCCAGCCCTCGGTGGCCGTGGGATGGGGGGACACACAGTGCAGGGAGCGAACGGGAGAGCCCAGGACCTGCAGACAGGGTGCACAGAAAGACGCGAGGGGCCGAGGGGGTGGTGGGACCACTGTCCCCCGGTCCGTGGGGCTTCCCGCTCTAATCACTGCTCCGCAGGAGCTGAGAGGGGTGGGGTCAGCCCAGGATTGAGTCCCGGTCCCCAGGACAGTAGTACGAAGGCTTACCAGATGTCCGCTCCCCCAGCTCCCCTCTGCTTTCAGGGCAGCAGCCTGTACCTGCTCTGCGCCCACCAATGGCCCTTAGTTCAAGGTGAGAGGCCTTTCTTCCTCCTCCTCTCCCTCTCCTTTCCCTTTCTGAGGACAGCCTGGGAGAGCCAGGGCTGAGAAATACAATGGGCAGGTACTATCCAAGGGTGACGGATGACAGTGGCGAGCAGACCCGTGTTATAAAAGGTCTTGGCATCACTCTTGCAGTGATGCAGTGGGGTCTCTTCCACAACCACTAATAAAATCCACAGGACTCTATGTCCAGGGACCACCAGCAACTCATACTCAAAACAACCGCTGAACAGTCCAGCTCAGGGGCCTCGCTGAGCACTCACGTGGCAGCGGGAACACACAAACGTGACACAGAGAGTGGGCTCCCACGGGGGGGGTGGGGTGGACGCCTATGCCCACACTCACACACGCCTGCGGGCGCACGCCTAGAGCCCGTGCAGGGGATGCTCACATGTGCCCACACGCATCCTCACTGGGGCCCACACGTGCTGTCCACAAGTGCCTGCGTGAAAGGCACCCCACCGGCACTAACGACCCACACCGACACATGCCCACTCACAGGCCACACGGAAGAGCAAACTGCACACGGGGTCACATACCTGAGACGCACACTGAGATAGGCACATGGTGAGAGGTGCGGAGGGGCAGATCCACAAACCATGTGCACGGAACGCCCACGCACACACCATGGCACACACTGACACGTGCACGCCCGATGCCACTCTGCCCACGGCAAGGACAAAGACACGGTGTCCCCGCACCCACACGTAACCACTCACAAACACGCAAACCGGTACACACATACAGGTGGCTGCTGCGTGGCTCCCACATCGACATGTGGTGTCTTCTCCTTCTGTCTCTTCTGGGGAAGAAAAATGGACAGGTTCAGTTTATCCTGACCTCTAGGACCCGCAAGCCCCACGGCCACCAGCCGATCTCCAGGGAGAGGTGCAGAATCCCCTACGTGTCTGCTGCCCTCTGTACACTCCCAACCTTCAGCTCTCCAAGGGAGTGACCTTGGTTCCTTGCTGTGTGCAAACACACGGATCTAGTATTGAAGCAAACATGCGGGCACACAAAGGGTCTATTGCTTCCCGGAGGTAACAGCTTCGGATACTCAGTCATCAAGCCCCACTGGCACTCACGCTTTCACTTAAATATCCTTCAGAGACCTATTTTGGAAACCCTGTAAACTTGGACAAAGAGTTGTATTTCCCCCTGATCATTTCTAGGATATTCACAAGGGTGTGACTCCCCAGCTCATCACTCCAATCTCACACAACATGCAGGGAACAAATGCACTGCCATGCACACCATCGAGGCCACCAAGTAGCCCACGGCCAAAGGCGGGGCCACCACTCCGTGGGCTGCTGTCCACATACTTCAGGATGTAAGCAGTGCCCCCTGCATGTGTGCAATGCAGTGGCCCTGACCAGAGGCCTTCAATGTTCAGTCTATTCAGCTGGGTAAAGCACAGTATTAACCTTCCTGGCCTTGCACAGGGAAAAATCTCTTCTACAGATACACACGTGTTGTGTCCTTTCAAACACAAGGAAGGTCAGAATGGTAGGGTAGAGGCATCACCCACAAAGGCAAACAGGAAAAATGAAGCTGTCAGTGCTCAGGTGGAGGACTGCACGTCTGGGACACCTGTGGAATGAGCTTGCCCCAGTTCCTGGGCTGACAAACCCAGTCTGGCCCAATGGGCCCTGCCTGGACCTGGGAGGTTGGCAAATGCTGCTCCTTCCCCGATGAAACTGACACCCACCAGTGGAGAACACGCAGGCAAACTAGCACTGTTCAAACGCCGTGTCCACATCTGCAGAGAAGCGTGGTCCACGGTGGGCAAAGGGAGCAGAGGCAGCTGGTCTGAGCCTGAAGAGGCGCAATGCACATAAGCACCCCTGGAATGGATGTGGGTATCACTGTGGAGACACCTGTGAGCTCCGCAAATGAACGCACCCCTCAGCATTGACAGCTGCAATGCACGCAGAGTGGCCATGCCAGGAAGCACGGGCAGCAGAGAGAAAGAGAAGCACACGCTCTAGACGGGCAGCATGCACTCCCACCAGGAAAAGCACCTTCCACTGGCTATTTGCAAATTCTCAGATATTCAAATGCCAGCCCTCCAGGAGCACATGTGTAAGAGTGTAATTACATGGAAGAATTATCTCTCTCTTACATGCTCACATGTGTGCATACCCACATATGCGCACACGCGCATACACACACACACACACACGCGCGCGCGCCAGGCAAAAGAGAGAACCAACCTCTAATTTCCACACAAATCAGATACACACTTCAAACTTCACTTCTCCAGTCGCACATACAAAGATCCAGATTCATATCCCATCACAACCATTAATATGTCTTCATACCTAAAATCACAGAGAAGCATCTTTCCAACTCATGCATATATGACCTCACATACACCCTGCAAGGACCCTGTGGATCAGGAAGGGTGGTTGGTATTCTTCATTTCGAAGATGGGGAAACAGGGATTCTGAGATGCCAGGAGGTTCCCTCAGCGTGTGAGGGACCGAGCTACGACTAGCACTTGGGCCTTTTAATTTGTAACAATGTTCTTTCCGTGTTTCTCTATGGACACCACATTCGCACTTAGTTATACCGTAGTCCGGAAGTCAGGAGTCTGGGCTGTAAGCCCAGGCAGCGCACACACACCCTGACAACGTTCCACCTGTAGCACCCACCTCGCAGCACAAGCACTGCACCCAAAGCCTGGATCTCTGCTCATCTTGGATGGTCACAGCACCTCTCCCACCTCACTGTGGCCGGATACGCACACAGCTCAATGCCTACTGCCACGTGCCTACCAGCATCTCATTCATTCTTTCATTCCATAAATAGTGATTTTCTACTCTGGGCCAAGCATCCTTCCCCCACGTATCTCTAACCCACTCCTCCTCCAGGCTTCCTCATCTCAGTAAATAGAACCACCTACTGCTAAGTGACAGCCAGCCCTACCCACCAGCATGTTTGGATACCTGTGTATATGTATTTTTAGCCCAGGCTCATGAGTGCAGGGAAAGTGGAGTAGAAACTGCTCAAGGCCCAGAGAATGCTCTAGGGAGCAAGGAGTTGTTTCACCTTTCTTCATCAATCTTTAAAAAATTTGCCGGGGGTGGGGGGGAGGGGAGTTTTTTTCTCATGCAGGGGAGGGAGGTCCCCACACAGAACTCTGGAATGTTCCTACAAGGCGAGGCCTACGACATTCATAGGCTTTCACACGAGCTCTGGGCAGAGAAGGGCTCCCCCCTGATCAGCTTCTAGTAATAGATGACAGGGTCTGGGGCCAGGCTAGAGGTCCAGCTGCCAGGGCTCTCAGACCCTCCCCAGTGATACCCCAGGACCCCTCACTAAGTTCTCAGGACGGCCAAGAAGCCACAACAGGAATTCCGTGGTTCTGTGGTCACTTCTCAAGGCCCTTCTCCAAGGCCCTCCCCCAGCACCATACAGTGGTCAGTCGCCCCGCAGGGCCCATGGCCTGCCGGTTCCACCAGCAGCCACAGGGCCAGGCTGGATCCTCAAAGACAGTCTACACTCGCCACCCTAATTTATCACCTCCCATTCTCTCCCTAATCCGCTCCAACTGGATTCTGTTCCCACTGGGCCACTGAAACGGCTCTCGGGAAGGTCGCTAACAGCGTTCATTTTGCCAAACCCAACGCTCCCTTTTCTGTTCTCATCTTACGTGATCTTTCAACGGTCCTGAGCTCCGCCGTCCACTCCCTCCGTCTGGAAGCGTGTTCTTCTCCACGTCTCCAGGACACCACGCTCCCTCGTTCTCTCTCCCACCTCCGGCTGCTCCCCATCAGCCTCCTCGCGGGTTTTCCTTGAGGCACGGAGTGCTCTGGCCTCTGTTCTCAGCTCCTCGCTTCTCCAGCCCACCTCTCCCTGAGTCAGCCCGCCCGGGCTGACAGCTAAAATGCCGTCCAAATGCAAACGCTCCCCCAAATCCTTATTTCTAACCCCGACTTCTAAACTCCAGACTCACGGGCCAACAGCCCGTTCAACACCTTCACTTGCATGTCTTAGCATCTCAAATTTAACATGGCCAAAATGAACCTTGGATTTCCACTGTTCTCCAGGCTAGCAGTAAATACCACCATCATCTACCCAGTTGCTTAGGTTCAAACCTAAAAACCTGGGAGAAACGTTTGCTTCTTCTCTTTTTTTTTTTTTTCATCCCCACCTCCATCACATTTATTCCATCAGCTCATCCTCTTGGTTCTCCCTCCAAAATACAGACTGAATGGGATGACTTCTCATCTTCTCCATTGCTACCATGGTCTAAACCACCACCAGCTCTCACCTACTTTACTCTAAGAGCCAACCTCTGTCTTCCTGGCTCCAGTCTGGGCCCCTACAGTCCATCTCCACAGAGCACAGGGACCTTTTAAAAGTGTAAATCCTAACCTATCCACCCTTCCCCTCTAGACCCTCCTATGGTTGTAACTAGAATAAAAGCTAAAGTCCTTCACCTGGGCCTTCAGAACCTCCCGGGCCATGTCTCCTTCTCTTCCCCCTTGCTCCCTTCATACCAGCCACACTGGGTCTTGCTGGGGATGTTCCACCTTCGTAACGTCACACGACCATCTTCTACACATTTAGGTCTCTGCTTAAATATCATCTCTTCAGAGAACCCCTCCCAGATCGCCCGAAGGTACTCCACCCAATTCCTGTTCCTCTGCCTTAGTACCCTGTTATATGTATTTGATAGCTATTCTCGCTATATAAAATTATTTCGTGTATTTATCAGCTATCTTGTTCACTGAAATAAAAGCTCTGTGAAAAAAAGAGAGCCTGTCTTGCTCACTGCTGTATTCACAGGACGTTTCCTGGCATGGAGCAGGCGCCCTGTGAGAGTTCACAGCTTTGGAATTGAGCAACTGGCTGTCAGCACAGGAGCCCAGGGGTCTGTGAAGTGGGGACAGCGACTCACTCGATGGAAGGCATGTTGGGTGCAGACATCGGGCTGACCTCCTTGGCCTTCTGCAGCGCGTGTTTCTGGTTGAAGGCCTCCTCTTCTTCCTGTTCATCCTAGACACAAAGCAGAGAGGGCTTTGTCTGGGATCCTCGTGAAGGACAGCAGCTCCCATGGCTCTCCCCAGAAGGCGTTCTGGAGACCAGGCGAAGCGAGACAAGAAGGGCAAGAGGTGAAACAAGGCAGAATGAGGTCAGGTTGGCTCACAGACCTCGGGTGGCCAGCAGCCAGCCCCCTTGAGACAGCAGCCTCCTGGCCAGCAATTCTGGCCTCCACCCTGCCCCACCTTCTCAGGACAGCCGTGCAGTTCTACCCCAGTGCCAGTCCTCAGGGGAGCTGGCCGGGGTTGTGGAGGTCAGAGGCCAGAGCCGACACTTCTCAGATGCTCTGCAGTGTCTGGAAGTGATGGAGGGGGACCTTCCAGGCACAGCCCCCTGAAGTAAACACCACACTTCCCATCACGCCCTCTTCCCTGCACAGCTAAGTGACCCCACCCTGGGGCCCAGGCAGGGACCTTATCCCCTCACCCACATTCCTGCTCATAAATGTCCCTCTATGTGATGACGTCAAGGAAAGCCGGTTCAGGTAAAATGACTAGAGCTCCTAGGAATACACACATCTTCACAGCCTGCTCTGGTTTTCACACGCATCATTTTACTTGATCCTTGCAGTACTCCTGTGAGGTATGCAAGGCAGATACATCATTCCTTTTTTACAGATAAAGGAAGCAAGGCTAATGGAGACCAGGGGTCAAGCACAAGCTAAAAGAGCCAGTGAGTGGTCGATGCATGACTCACAGCCAGCTTTTCAGATACTGGAGCTGGTATTTTTCCCTGCCTGCAGAGAAGAAGACCCTCAAGGACGTAGGGAAGAGCAGTCACGGAAACATCACCAGGTTGCTATGGGCTCTGCCCCAAACCAAATGTGTATTACGTGGGGAGAAGTTTTCACTCATCTCCCTAGACCATCCCACTGCAATCAGTATTGCCTCCACCCCTGAAGAAATGACTCAGAGGAAAGAAAGGAACAGTTCTTTGAGCAATGTAGCAACTAGCTTCATTGAAACTTCCCTCAAGATGACCATGGCCACTGGAGTACCCCAGGAGACACAGTCTAGGAACAGAGATGCTCCTGGCCCCTCTCACCCCCAAACCCAGAAGTATGAAGGCACATGATTGAGGTCACACAGCCACAGGTCACAGGAGCAGAGGTGGGACTTAAATCCAGGACTTTGGTGTTTTCTTTCTTTTCCAGGGCATAATTCTGCAAAGGATATCTTTGGGAGTTTGCAGTGACTAAGTGATTATCTTCTACGTCCCATGAGAGATCCAGTCTGCTCCAAGGCTCAGCAAACTCAGCGAGGGTGAAGCAGGCTCCTTTCATGGATGTGTGGCTCTCCAGCTGTCCACAAGCTCCCAGAAGGGCCCTTCCTGGCAGGCTTGAGCCAGGCAATGCAGACTTTTGGACGCAGCCCCAAAGGCCAGCAGGCACCCAACGGCACTAGAGAACCATCGGCTCCCCGGAGAACAATGCTTACCTTGGTCAGCTCCTGGGCATTGGCCAGATTGTCCACAGCGATGGCCAAGAACACATTCAGCAGTGTGTCTGGGGTGATGAGTTAAGGATGGGCAAGTAAGAAAAGCCAAAGGCCCCAGCAAGGCTGAGAGGGCATCTCTAGGCCTTTCCTGCCTGGGACACCAGCAGGAACAGAAACCATCCCAGAGTCACTTAAGCAGGGGCTGTCGGGGGAGGGAGAGAGATGTTATGCAACTCTGTTTGATGGAGACTATGTCTTCTCTCCTTCCACATGTCATCTCTTTGTACAGGACAAAGAAATACCTGAATCAAAGCTCCCAGAGGGCAAAGTGAGCTACTTTGTGACAAACTGGCCTTCCATTTCTGTAACTCACTGCCTAGCTTTCTTTTTATGGGTTTTTCATGTTTAGTTTATAGTCTGCTCTGGCCCCTAGAAGTTTTCAGGGCAGAAAACTTAAAGAAATATCACTGTTCTGTGAGGCTATGGAAAATGCAAAAATATAGCTGCAGCACATGGCTGTCCCTTTTCACTCTAGCAATCCCAATTCAACGCAAGTCCCACCCCCCCAAAACTTCTAATGATCATGTAGAAGTTTGCAGTTTATAACGTAACATTCAAGCAAATTATCTCATTTACTATTCATAACCATCAAAGGAGAGAGATACTGCTTCTTCCTTTCAGATGTGGAAACTAGGCGCTCAGAGAGATTAAGTGACTTTCCCAAGGCCACACAGCTGGTAAACAGAGTTGCTGGGATTAAAACCTAAATCTTTCTGGTCTAGAGCCCACGACCAGCCATGGATTTTGGAATTAAATGCACCTAGTTTCTCGTCTCCCTTCACAACTTACTAACTGTTTGACTTTGATTAAGTTATTTCCTCTAAGTCTTATAAGGTAAGGATTAGATGCAATAGTGCCTGGAAAGCACTTAGTACAGGGTCTCATGAACAGCACAAGTACGATAAATGTTAGCTATGCTCAGTAGTATCAGCATTAATCATAATACTAATATTTTTGAGAACTTACTATGTGGAAGGCTCTGTTCTATATTAACATACAGAGCTGCCACATGATCCTGCAATCCCACTCCTGGGCATAGGAGAAAACTAGAAAAACTAGTTTTTTCCTGGAGAAAACTAGAATTCAAAAAGATACGTGCACCCCAATGTTCATTGCACACTATTTACAATAGCTAAGACGTAGAAGCAACCTGAATGTCCATTGACACATGAATGGATAAAGAAGATGTGGGATATATATACAGTGGAATACTACTCAGCCATAAAGAAGAATGAAATATTGCCATTTGCAGCAACATGGATAGACCTAGAGATTATCATACCAAGTGAAGTAAGCCAGACAGAGAAAGACAAATATCATATGATATCGTTTATATGTGGAATCTAAAAAACATGATACAAATGAACTTATATACAAAACAGAAATAGATCCACGGACATAGAAAGCCAAGCTTATGGTTACCAAAGGGGAAAGAGGGAAGGAGGAATAAATTAAGAGTCTGGGATTAACATATACACAGTACTATATATAAAATAGATAACCAACAAGGACCTTCTGTATAGCACAGGGAACTATACTCGATATTTTGTAATAACCTATAAGGGAAAGAATCTGAAAAATATATATGTATGTGTAACTGAATAACTTTGCTGTACACCTGAAACTAATACAACATTGTAAATCAACTATACTTAAATTAAAAAGTCTTTTTTAAAAAAGTAAAAAAAAACATATAATTAATTCATTAGTATTATAATCTTGTCACTATTTCAGCCCACAGTGATCTCTGTCTTTTCTTATTTTCCCCAGCTCATTGTACCTCCAACCATTTACTATAACAGACTCATATGTTTTTATTTGTGATGCTAATCTGATAACTTGGATATTATGATATCTGATCATTTGGATGATACTTGCTTATATTTATCTTCTTTACCCAACTAGCAGATGATCCTTAGATCGGGATCCTTGTGCCTCTTAGTACACCTAGCAATGGTCACCCCAGTGCTACCCAGCCCCCCACTATTACCACCATCAGCACCACTACCATCACCTCCTCCTCCTCACATGCTGGTCCCTGCAGGCAGCCCAAGAGAAGCCTTTGAGAAAGGATACAGTTTCCAAACAAGGTGAGCACAATGAAATAGATAGCTGACCACATGCCTGAGCTGACCCCACCCTGGGAGCGGATCCCATTGTACATCACCTCATTCCAGTCCTCACCCGTCAGGATCTACGCAAAGCAAACAACAGGCAAATCAGAGACCTGGGTTGGATGAGAAAATGGGGTCAATGGAAGGGGGAAAATTCTGGGCCTGGGTCTTTTCCATCTACCCCTTGCTTGATTATCCTGCGAGAGAGAAAAAAGTGTCACGGCCACGAATAATCCTCAACTTCCTTCTGATATGTAAGAGACATTGAAAACAGAAGGAGAACATCAAAAGGAAAGATTCTATTCCTCAAAATACAGAGTCTCCCCACCCTGACCCAAACATCAGCTTTGCCCGGCCTGTGGGAATCACACAGATGAGGTGGTCTGGTCACTGCCTGACTGTCCCCAGGAGTTGCCAAGATACAGTTCCTGAGACAGCAGCATTATTGGAAAGGGCCTCATGGGCTCCAGTTCTGGAAACCTGGGTTCTGGTTCAGCCTCAGATTCTGGCTAAATAGTGTTCTCCTTCAGCTCTTAGACATTATTGATTTTGAGTTTCCCCCATGATTTAAAAAAAAATTTTTGGGGGGGGTGCGTGGAAAAGATGCTTCTTTAAATGCACACGTGGGTTTGAAGATACTTCCAATTTCATAAAACCAGAAATGCGATGTTGCTGAATGACTTTGACTAACATCTCTCGCCAACTCACAAGTGTAAGGAGAAAGCCAATGAGGTCATCACAATAGAGCTCTTTTATTATTGGTAAGGACATAGCTATAGAAATGCTAGGAATTATAGTGATGATGATTAGTCAGTAAGCAAGAGTACCCAGCTGCCTGAGAGGAGCTTGGAGAGGAAAGGGAGAATTCTCTTAACACATCATTTTATAGTGTGTGCACCAAGGGATCCCAAGTAACATTTTTTAACGTCTCATACCTGGAATACAGTCATGATGGCTGCAGGGAAGGTGTCAAAGTTTGCCGAAGGAGTCCCATCATTAAAGTTGAACCTGAAAAAGGAAATTCAGAGAGAATGAAATGACCAAGTTTTCCTTTCCCGAGATTATGCCGTTTTCATCACTACTTTTCCCCTTCCTCCACATCCCCCTGTGCCCTACTCTCCCTTCATCCCAGTAACTTATGAAGACAGTTTTAGTGACTACTACTGGGGGACTGTGCACTTGAAGGGCCCTGGTAATGGGACGGGGTCTGGGCTGATCCTGAGTTACAAAGCCCCAGGCTGTACCTTTCAGGGACAGCTCCAGAGAGAGGGGTCCCCTCAATAAGAACCCTGTACAGTGTGAACGAATTAAAAACAGAGATATCTGTTCCACACACATGCTCGTGGTTGATTTGAGCCACAGACACGAACAAACGAGATAGTTAACATGGCAATCAAATTAGTGACCCCAGCGCTCACAGGTTGAAGTCTAGGTTTTGAGGCTCCTTTGGATGCAAAGTTCATTGGTGCTTACCTGCCTCCAAACAGCTGCATTCCTAGGAGAGCAAAGACAACGATGAAGAGGAAGAGAAGGAAGAGCAAACTGATGATTGACTTCATGGAACTCATCAAGGAGACCACCAAATTCCGGAGGGATGCCCAATACCTACAAAGAACCCAGACAGCATTACAGCAGTGAACACTAAATACCAAATTATCTCCATGCACAGCTGGGCATCTGCCTGGTGGTCTATGAGATAAGCCGCATCTGCATACTTGTAGGAAGGAGAGATGACAGCAATAATGTGGCTCCCTTGGGAATGTGGCACAGGATATGGCATCATGGGCATTTTTCTGGTTTAATCTTCGGAGAAGAAGGAGGAACTGGAGAACGGAGTGTGGGGTGGAGTCAGAAAGGGGATCATGTGGTAAGGGCACGTGGGGATGGAAGGAAATGAATATAATAAGGCAGAGAGAAGCGTCCACTCTCGAAGGTGGTTGGGAAGAGTCTAGATTCTGATCACTTACTTGGTTATTTTAAATATTCTTAGAAGCCGGAGAGCTCGCAAGACACTGATTCCAAAAGATGTACCAGGTCTGAAGATCGCCCAGACCACTTCAAAGATGCTGCCCACTGTGACCTAAAGAGCCAAACCCAGCCACGGTGAGAAGAGGAAAAGGAGGAGGTGGTGAATGAGGAAGAGGAGAGAGGAGCAATCTTGTATTCCGCAACCAACAGCTCTCACTGGGCCATTGTGAAATTCAAACGCCCCCCTCCCCCACCCAGCCCACCTGCAACAGGACCACCTGTTTGTGAAGGCTGCCAAGGAAAAACAAGACTCTACCACCTCTCTCCCCACTGCTCCCCACTCCCCTTGCTAAATTTCCTCCTTCATACTACAGATTGCTTTACTGACTGCTGTTCTGTCCTTTGTGAAAACTGCAGTAGTCATTCACCACTTCTGCACACATCTGACAGCCATACTGTTCTTATAACACCTTGAACAGACAAGAGTGGTCCTCAAATGAGAAAACAAGTTTAAATTAATACACGTTGCATTCCAATACAAAAACCTCTGAGAAGATCCACGTTCTCTCACTGTCCTAGAATTTAGTGCTAACAAGAATGTTTCAGTCACCTGTACATGAAGTATCTTTCAGTCACTCAGGACCCCATACCCCAACGTGATGGTACTACTTGGTGGCGTAGAATCTGACTGCTATAGAAATAGCAACGTCAAATCAACCATCCAATTTGTTTTGCGCTTTAATTATGTGTTTATTGAAAGCCTACTATATTCCACACATTGCACTAGGAGAAAGAACAAGAATTAATTCTCACAGCAATGCTGAAAAGTATGTACATAAGGGAACTAAGGTGAAAATGGTCTTTCACTAGTTCTTATGCCTGAAAATTGCCTGTACCCAGAAGCATATGTTCCAAGTTAAACTGCAGATTGGCAAGGGCTCAGAATCGTTAGCACCTAACTGGAGATTTGGCAGAAAAAGAAGTAGGTTTGGCAGAAAGAGAGATGGTTCAGGAACCCAAAGTTTTGAAACCGACTTCTGCTGCTAACTGGCTGTGTGAACTTGCCCACGAGGTCTCCTATTTACTCATGTGTAAACGGGCAGCCTAACTCCCAGCACCTAACATCGTGGACATCGGACCCCTGCAAGCAGTGGAGGACAAATATGTATGTGAAAGCACCTTGAAGACTGTTAGTAACGCACACATTTATATATCATTTAGGAAAGTGGACACTGGGTGAAGTAGTCTATGTGGGGACTTGCTAATACACGAGTGTGTATGTGCATATGTGCGTGAATGTTTAAGGGTATACCCAGATAATTTTCCCAATTTTAAAGTGAACTCAAAAAATAAATATATAAGTTGCTCATTTTTGATTGAACCACCTTCTGGAATCAAGTCTTTTGTCCTTCTCCCCCAGGCTTCCCCCAAGACAATAAGTGGTTCAAAACTTTGGCTATGGGTAGCTTTGTAAAATTTACCAAAGTGTTTACTCTGTGGTATGTGTGTTACCATTCAGTAAAACATTAAAACATTAAAAACATTAAAAATAAAAGAGCATTTAAAAGACCCAAACAAACCCTAGTACGGCAAGGATTCACGCATTCCTGACCTCCCTTTTTGCTAATCCTATCTATTCCCCTTTTATAAATTCTGATTTCAGTGCTTCACGCCGAGAGCCCCGGAGCAAGCTGCTTATCTCAAACCATGGCATAGCAACACCTGGCAGAAGGATGGGCGGGCTCCAGAGCACTTACCCCAAAATCAAAGCAGTTGAACGAAGAGTGAAAATAAAGGCGAGGCCCCATGCCGTACATCTTCAGGGACATCTCCAGGAGGAAGAGTCCCAGAAACAAAAATTCTGCATAGTCTGAAAGCATTAAAGGCAGAAGCGTTGGTTCCATGGATGGCACGGGCTTCTGCCCTCCCCGGTCCAATCGCCCCACCTACAGAGGAACCCTCCACAGCAGCAGGACCTACACAAGCGGGACTTGCAGTGACCATGCCAGCTCAGTGCCAGGCAAAACCTAACGAAGTCTGAAAACGCTCAGACCCAGAATGAGTCCCAGGCACACTCCACAGGGTCAGCTTTGCTCTCTTGACAGGTGGCTTTGTCATTGCCCTTCAAATGGTAGATGGCTCTCAGGAGAGAGAGAAAGGGCTTAAGCATGGCTTTGATGAAAGAGCTGGATTCGCTCTCCAGACTCCCGGCAGTGACAGCCTCTGGGAGCCTCACTCGCGCCCAGCGGCAGCCTTACCCAGAGCTGACCTACACGTTTCCTTTCTGGTCTATCGAAGGTATCCATTTCCCTAGGAACTTTTTCCCTAGGACTTTGGTGACCAAGACACCCTACGTCGCTGAGCCTACGTAAGGCACTAAGCTGGCCTTAGACTACCCAAGGTGCAACACCATCTTGTTGACTCATCAGCAAAGATTTGTTGATCTGATTCAATAATGAGTGACAGCTAGGAATGGTCGTGTGATAACCCCGACCCCTTGAGGACAGCTCTGGCCTCGGTCACAACGTGGTGGAGAGGCAGAACTCTGGGTGGGCAGGACCACGGCCAGGCCCACGTGACACCTTGCTCTCTTGACATTCACACCCCAATTGAGCAGCTGCCGTGAAAGCCAGTAGTCACCATTCACTTACAGAGGAGGTGGGTGAGCCACTGGGGCTGGTTGTGATGGACGATGGCCACACAGGCGGTGTTGAGAGCCACAAGGCTCAGCACAATCCAATAAAACACCTGGGATTTAACCATGTGGCGGATAGAGATACGCAGAAGCCGCTCCTTGTGCCGGAAGTAGGAGGCCCCGTCCACCTTTGTACTCTTGATGCTGGCTCGGGCGAGGGGTGTGCCTAAGTGGGAGAAGTAAGGAGGAAGAATGAGGCTGCAAAGGACATCACCCTCCGTGGCAAGCAGGTATTCGCAGGGCAAGGTGGGCAGCTTTGGTCCCAGGGCTAGGGTACTGCCCCGTGTTATGAGCTAAGAGTTTCCACAGCACAGCAGGGGACCCTGCGTTTCCTCTGGGCACCCTCAGTCCTAGGAAACGGAAAGATTCCCCAGGCAGGACACCAGGCATCCAGCCGGTATCTTGAATCCTAACAGGATCGTGTTTATGTCTGTAACAGATTGGGCTTCTCTCTGGCTTTTCTTTTTAAATATGCTTCGGGCACTGGAATCATCCTGCCGCATTTGTGATTTTTTCTGCCACTGGAAGCCTAAAGCAGCGATGAGCTCTGTACGCCTCTTCTGCTTTGGAGGATGAAGTCAGACCCTTCCCTTTTATCTGGGGAGGAAAAAATCTGCCATCAGCCAGAATCTCTAAGGGAACCTGAGGTTGAACACCAGTCATGTTAAAGGGTTGTCAGTAGGAATTTGTGTAAGTATCACATGGAAGCAGGCGATGGAAGTAGGTAGATGCTACTATGATTAAGCAAATGATTGCAGGTTCTCAAATGGGTGTCCTCAGGATCCTTTGAACAATTTCCCAAAGTGGGTTCTCATTATCACATCCAGGAGAGATAGGATATATATGCCGATGGGATACATCTGCCACACTCGAAGAATCTGGGTTGGATTCTTGGCCCTAAGCCCCATGTTTCACATAACAGTATCCCCTGGTCCATCTTTTTCTGTAAGTCATTGTCAACTAGATTAGATTCCAACGCCTCTTCCTAATTACATCCCAAAGTTCTGGATTCTTTGGCCTCCCTTCCTCCTGGTGGTGTTTCTCCAAAGACAGGATGTTCCCTTTCAGAGGAGGTTCAGAGCAGTGAAAGGAGATCTGACAGCCTCCACTCACCCACAGAGGAGATGTCGACACAGTGCTCGTCGCTGGAGTCCCGCGTCATGGCCTCCGTCCGGCTCCTTTTGATGGTTGCCCTTCGGAGCACTACACCGGGGAAGGCGGAGGCCAGGGAGAGGACACAAGAACAACCGGATCAGTCTGGTCAGAACTGAGGACTGTGGGCAAGAGGCCCCTCTGACACAGGCGCCTGCCTTTAAATACCCGAGCCAGGGTTAGTGAAGTCAGCAGCACCTCTGACACACGAGGCTCTTGAATCCCATGGGACAAGGCTCCCGAAGCCTTGCTAGAGCTTATCTAAATGCAGTAGGTAACAGGTACTCCGTATCTATTTGTTCTGGTTCTTCATAAACAATGTCACTTCCTGCCAATGAAAGTGGTCCCAAGATGATCCCCACAAATTGTCAAAGAAGATCCCTTTCTGTGCCATTGGTTGTATGATGGCTTTTTCACTGCCCGTATCAAGCACACGCCCTGGAACAAAGCAACTCTTGGATTTCATTTTCATCACTTTAAAAAACATTTAAATCCATGACTCAAGTCCCTTCATTTTAAAGCATGAGGGATTTTATGACAGAGAGACTTGCGTTTCAAATCCCAGAGCGCCCCTCTTTTCTTTCTTTCTCCTCTTTTGATCAAGAGAGATTGCCTCTGCAGAAGAGGGGGCAAATGCGAAAGGAATGAGGCCCTGGAGCACTTCCTTACCTTCTAAGGCTGACGTTCCAGCATTTTTATTTTCTTCAGCAAGCATGACTTCCTCTATATGGAAACAAATGGTTTAGTAAATTATCGGTAAATGCCAAATTACTTTGCAACATGAAAATCCCTCAGGAACGGCTCTGGCTCCAGGGCAACAGAGAGAGAGCAAAGAGTTCAGAGCTGGTCACAGGCATCAGCAAGACATCAAAGGTCATGAAGGGAGCACCCGAAGGTCAGAACAGAAAGGAAGGTCTTCAGTGAGGGGGTGTTGGTGGGTGATCGGTAAGATTCAGCTCTGTCTCTGATACACTGTTTAGGAGAATAGCCCTGAGAGCGAAAGCTGATCTTTTTAACTAAAATCCCCTAAATTGATAAGAATGACAAATTTCCATTTCTGTTTTTTCTTTTATCCAGGTTCCTTAAACCTTTTCTAGCAGCAGGAGCTCCCTTAATTTTGCTTGTCTGCAGCCCCTAGGTCATAACACCTTACCCCTTCATTCTGAAGGTGAGACCGTGTTTTGGGTTCTAGCCTACTCCTTTAAGGAAGGGGCGGAGGAAGATTCTCACAGCCACCCCAAAGAGAGGAGCAGGGCTTATGGGCTTGCCTCCTCTCCCCGCCACCACTTCCATCCTGCCTAGCTGAGCAGAGCTTGAGCTGAAGAGGCTTGGGCCTATCATGAATTTGTCCCTGTGATATAACAAAATATAAATATTTGGTTTCTGTCCACCTTCCTGGCACAGAGCTTCCAAACCCTTGGAATTTACTGTCTTTTGTACGCTAATGAGATGACTCACTGTGGGAGAGGCCTAGTTAGTGTAAGGATGGGGGCTGGTTTCCCCCAAAAACCAACCACATGATTAGAAGGTTGTAACTTTCAGTCTCATCCCCCTCCCACCTCGCAGGAGGAGAGAGGGTCTTGAGACTATTCAATTACCAATGGTCAATGATTTAATCAATCATGTCTACGTAAAACCTCCATAAAAACCCTACACGACGGGGCCCGGGGTGCTTATGGGTTGGTGAGCATATCAGGGTACTGGGAGGGTTAAGTGCCTGGAGAGGGCATGTGGGATCTGCATGCCCCCCAAACGCCACCCTCATACCTTACCCCGTGTATCTCTTCCATTTGGCTGTTACTGACTTGTATCCTTCATAATAAACTGGTGGTAGTTTTTCCTGAGTTCTGTAAGTCATTCTAACTAATTATCAAACTTGGAGCCCTCTGAAATTCTAGTCAGCCGGGAAGAGGTGCAGGTCACCTGGGGACCCCACCGTGGCTGGTGTGCAAAGCAGAGGCAGGCTTGTGGGACGGAGCCTTTCACCTGCGGTGTCTGCACTAACTTCACGTCAGAATTGAGTTGAATTGTTGGACACCCCAACTGGTGTCAGAGAGTGGAAGGCCTGGTCGGCATTGGGACGATGTATTTGGTTGTTGGCGTTTGGAAAACAACCACTCAGTCCCCTGGACGCCCCTCTTGGCCTCCCCAGGAGCAGCCTGTACTCCACAGTGGCGTCATCATCGGCAGGATACTATTTTCTGCTAAGACTTATCAGAATATGCCTCACTGACATCCCTCCAAACTTATCAACAAAACAGCCCTTCTGTCCCGTGTGTGCTGGGATTCTGAGCCCAACGATTGGGAGTGGTGTGGATGAGTCCTGATCCCCGCCCCTGTCTCAGCCACAGGCGAGGGAGCTGGAGACCCCAGCAATCATTCCCTAAGATCCCAGCTGCCGGGGAAAAGCTTGCAGCAGGGTCTATGAAGCAATGCTTTAATTTAAGCACTTCTAACAAGTAAAAGGACAGGCATAAGAGGGTAAAGTTATTACCATAATTCCACCTGCATAGAAAACTGAGAGCATATAATGTATTTCCCAGGGAGGGGAACATTTTGAGGCTCGGAGGGTGCCAGGCAGGATGGCCATTATAAAGTCATGACATTTAGCTTTCTTTTTTAAGTACAGTCCTCTGGCAAAACTAAGTTGACAGGTTAAGTGTTATTGGTGGGCTGCTCCTTGATGAGGACAAAGAGGGTTTTAAAGTCATTAATAGCACTTGCTTTTGGAGGGCATCCTTTTAAAATTAGGTACTTGTTAAAATACCTCATAGCAACATGAACGACCTCAGCCAGAGAGTCTTTTTCGTTCTGGGCAGTGTCGGGGCTTTGGGATCAGCAGATCTGAGGACCCCCAAGGCGGACGGAGGGTGTATGGTGCTGCTGAGTACCTCTGGGAAGCGCTCGAGGGCTCTGGATGGGCTGGAACGGCCCTCCCATCCCCCCCCCATGCCTCTCGCCAAGTTCGCTTTCGAACTTGAGCATGTCTTTCCAGGCAAATGTAACCCATATGTCTCTGAATCACTCACGCTCCACTTGTAAAGGGAAGGGCCAGGAAGCACAATTTGACGTCGCGGTGCGTCTTTTTTTGCTTAGAAGGAGAGTGCTGGCTTTGCCAACTGGAAGAAAGTGGAGCCTTGGGATTCTGCATGCGACTGAAAAGCAGAGCCGCAAAGAGCGGCATACCGGGCTGCCTGACCCCGAGCAGGGCCGTGGCAAGGGCAGGGAGGGTTGCCTTCCAGCTCTGCTGCCAGCCTACTCGCTAGGGTGGTCTGTCAGACGGCTCCCCTGCCCAGGAAGCCAAGGGCAGTTGGGAACTTCAAGCTGCCGGCCTGGCCTGGAGGCAAATCTGCTGAGATACTGTTCCAGGAAGAGGGAGGGGAGATTCACATTAACCTCCACACAAGAGCCTCAGAGGACAAAGGGCAAAATGGAAGTACAGTCACCACTCTCATGGCTCCTGCTTCCAGAAGCAGCAAGTCCCAAATGAGACGTGGCTTTTATCTGGCTTTGACGTGGCACTTTCCATCACACATGCCCTCTCACCCCTGAAAGATAATCCAAAGTTGACTCCTGAACTGAGAGAGCTTTTGTGTGCTGTGATCTGAATAAGCGTCGTAGCATCATTCCAAAGCTTAGAGAAGAATAAGGGTCAGGCACCTAAGTATCCAATCCTAGTCCAAATTTTTCCAGAGAGACCTCTTTGTTCTCTGCTTTCTACCAGGAATACAGCAAAGATGCTGACTATCATGTGTATTTTTTTTTAATTAAAAAACAGTTTACTCTTTTGCTCGGGAAGATATACAACACCAATGCAACGCAACCTTTCAAATAATACGGAAATCAAATACATCCTTTTTACTGACAGATGTGGGGTGATCGATGTCCCTCATAAGCAGCAGAGCCACAGTCAAACTTGCACCTGGGGGCTCTGTGGGTTAATGAAATCGGGATAAATCTGGACCTATCCTCGGGGCTGGGCAAGAATTTTTCCCGAGGCCGAGCCACAGAGTGGGGAGCTGATGACAGTGCAGGGAACAGCGAAAACCAATTCTCACCATCATCTATTAGCTGCCTTACTGCAGTGGCCTCACAATCAGTCTCCCTGCTTCTGGCCTTGTCCTCCTACTGTCTGTTCTCAGGGCAGCAACCAAGTACTCCTTTAAAATCTTAAACAGAGCATGTCCCTTCTCTGCTCAAGACCCTCCTGTGCTTCTTGCCTCATTCACCGGAAAGTCCCAAATTTTACAGTGGCCCGTAAAGGTCATACACAATCTACTGCCTCTGCTCCCACCAGAGCTGCCCTCATCCTTACTCTTGACACCTTCCCCTGCTCACACCTCCTGCTATTCCTGGAGGGCTCCTGGCCCCTCCCACATTACAGCCTGGGCACTGGGGTCTTCTTCCCTCAGAGCTCCCAGTGGCTCACGCCCTCATCTCTTCCGAATCTCTCCTCACACGGGTCTACCCTGACCCTCTATTTAAGACTGCAACCTACCCTAAACCCCTAACCCTACCTTGATCTGTTTTCACTGTACTTATCACCTTATCAAAAGTAATTATTTTGTTCATCGCTGCCTTCCCCAGCTACAGGGTAATGAGCTCCACAAGAGCAGAGCTCTGGGGGAATTCTCCGGCAGTCCAGTGGTTAGGACTCAGCACTTTCACTGCGGTGGGTGGGGGGCCGGGTTCAATCCCTGGTTGGGGAACTAAGATCCTGAAAGCCGCGTGGCATGGTCCAAAAACAACAAAAAAGGTAGAACTCTGGCTCATTGCTGTATCCTAAGTACCTAGAACAGGACTTGGCACAAAGTAAGCTCTCAATAAATATTTGTGGAATGAACAGACTGTTAGTAGTAGTAGTAACAGTAGTAGTGTAGAATGTCATCAGCCCAAACTCATGGGTTATGTTACCTTTTACTCAGTTCACCTTGCTAAAATGCCTGCCTCGTGAAAGGCGTTTGGCTGAAGAACTGGGACAGACTCCAGAGGGAGAAAAAGGGACCAGCGGGGAATCCAAAAAGCCAACAAGTCATCTCGAGCTTCTCTCTGCTCTGGTCTAGGCTGCCCCTTTGAATGCAAGTATTGGGAGTGGGAACTGGGGCAGGTCCCTGATGTCTGGGCAGCCCATCGCCAACCTCCTCCAGCCCCCAGGCCTTACCTGCTTTGTCTATCCACGCGCGGTACCCATTCAGCTCACGCTCGATCTGCTGCTGGCGCCGCAGTTTCATGAAAGCTCTCCGGTTCTCCACTCTCTCTCTCTCTTTGGCAAATTCCCTGTGGACAAAGCAGATAAGATTCACTAGGTTTGGGCAGTGCCATGACTAAAAGAAAGGGTGAAACAAGCAGGAGGGAGAGCATGTTTGAACAGGCACTGTGTATACCCCATTTCCTTTGTCCCAGGCTGCAACGGGGATCTCCTTAAAAGGTTGCACAGAAATGCACTTCGTTCAGCCTCCTGCAGGAAGCCTTCGCAGATCAGTTTCATTCCAGTCAGCACTAATGCTCTCTGCTTGCTCTATTTTGAAAGGTATTGACTTAGTAACGTGACCAGCTAGCTTCCAGAATGCTACGTTATGTCTCTCCGGCTACAACGGAAGCCCTTCACCCTCTGAGGGGCCCAGCTACCCTTTCTGCTCTTAATAACAACAGTGACTAATGTACATTGACTGATGATTACGTGCCAGCCTATATGAAGTTTTTCATACCCATTAACTCATTTAATCCTCAAAATCACCCTATGAGGTAAGCACTATTAAAATTCCTGTTTAACAGATGGGGAAATCAAGGTTTAGGGGAGAGAGGTAACTTGCTGGGATCTGAACTCTACCCATAATGCTGTGCTTCCCCTGGTGGCCTGTACCCTGTGGTGATCAGTATGGGCTGCCATGGAAGACCACGACTCTGAGGCCTAGAAGGGCTGAAATGCTGTTTGAAGATGGCTGGTCGAGATTAAACAAGAAAGCTAAGGACACAGGAAGGACACATGGCTCCAGTAGAAAGACAGTAGGAAGATGGGGTGGTGTGGAGGGGAAAATGAGACAGCATGAGGGTCAGAGATAAGACAGAGCCCACTAACAGACACAGGGGACCAGAGCCACTCTGTGGCACAAGACGATTAAAAAAAACAAAACCAAAACAAAAACGAAAGCTCCATGGGAAAAAGAAGACAGAAGAGGAACGAGGGTTCCCTGGCAGAGAGGAAGATGATCAGATTCAACGAGTGAACAAATGGGGATCGAGAAATATTCATTTGCTAACAGGCCCCTCCAGATACCACCTCTGCACCAATGCCCGTCTCATCACCAAACACCCTTCCAGCCGGAACACCCCTTGCTAGCGTAGTGCCTCCCAGCCACGGCTCACGCACTCTCCTACTGCCCTGGAAGCTGTTGCACTCATTCAAGGTGTTCCCCGTCCATAAAGAGCAACAGCCTGAAGATAAGAGAGTCGAGCACCCACTGTGGGTCCTGCCACCTACCCCCTCATGTCCAGGGAGGAGAAAATGAGCCAGGGGCTGAGGGACGTGCCCCAGCCCCGGTGCAGGGAAAGGAGAGGCGCCAGTCTACGGTGAGGCAGAGGGATATACCGGTTTGGGTCTCATACAGCCCCTCCTTCCAAGATAGAGAGGGATTCCTCGGGCACAGACACCTTACAATGGTCACTATCAGGCTAAGGGCATGGGGACAAGGCACATGGGCAGGGGAAGTTCTCCTGGGCTTGGTTTCAAGCTCGGTGGGTTCTCCTAAGGCTGCTGTGGGGGAAAGAAGAGTTGAGCAGGGCCAGCGAGAGTCAGGGTAACAGAACTTAAGCCCTGGGACACCTCCTTTTTTCACCTGCCCCTCTGGATTTCAGCAATTGGAAAGTAACGAACAGCTAGCTTGGTTCATGGCATCACCATCTACCGAAGTTCCTACCTTTGGTTCTTTGTCTTCTTCCTATCCTTCCTGTCTGACGAATGCTATTGTTCTGTTGGTTCTATCTTCAGAATAGCACTTGGACCCAGCCTCCCTCTGCATCCTTACTGCCTCTTGGTCCTCATCCTTTCCTGCCTGGACAACTGCAATAGCACCGACTTGGTCTCTCAACCACCTATCTCCCTTCCCTTCATTTCATCTATTTCACAGTTACTCCAGTTATCTTTCTAAAACGTGCACTGGATTTTGCCGCTTCCAAACTGAAAATAATAACCCCAGGGAGTGACATTTATGGAGCACTTTCTAATTTCCAAGCACCTTCATCCATTTTGTGCATTTAATCTTTACAACCAAAATGAGAAGGAGGTAGAACATGTATTTTCAGCCTCGATTTAAAAGTGAAACAACTTGCTCAGGTTCAGGTAAGAGATGGAGCCAGGTTTGGAACCCAGGCCTGTCTGCTCTAAGAGCCCAGGCTCCCTGCACATCTGCCGGCCCAGTGGCATATTTATATGCTGCTTTCTTTATCTTTTCATATGTATGTGTCTTCATTTTCCAACTATGCTCTAGGGAAATCCAAGAGGGTTTTGCAGGAGGTAATGTTTTGAGCAAGACATTGAACAAGGAGAATTTAAGCAGGCTATGAGCAGGGGAACACAGTAATCTTTCTTTTAGCATCTGCATTATTACCAACATCTCCATTTTCCAGCTCAGAAAACTGAATCTTGGTGGTGGGATGAATTGGGAGGTTGGGATTGACATAAATACACTAATATGTATAAAATAGATAACTAATAAGAACCTGCTATATAAAAAATAAATAAAATAACATTCAAAAATTCAAAAAAAAAAAACAAACCCAAAAACTGAATCTAAGGGGAGTTAAGTGGCCGGCCACTAAGAGGAACCACGACCCTCAGATCTTCTAAATTCCCTCTTCTCTCTACTCTATCCTCCCCTCCTCCACAGTCTCCTCCAACAGCTGCTAAACACCTAACAGACCCTTCAAAGGCCTTCACAGCTGGATCTGAACCTTTCATTCAAACCTCACCTCCCATCAATCTGATCTATCTCTTGCCTACTTGCAGCCCATCACGGCCATGCCTGAAACACAGCACACTTTCCACAGTTCCTGAAAAAGCAGTGAGGGATCTCAAGGTTTAATTCACACTGCCCAGAATCTGTTCTTACCTTTTGCCTGAGTCTCTTTTTTTTTTTTTTAAAACATCTTTATTGGAGTATAATTGCTTTACAATGGTGTGTTAGTTTCTGCTTTATAACAAAGTGAATCAGTTATACATATACATATGTTCCCATATCTCTTCCCTCTTGCGTCTCCCTCCCTCCCACCCTCCCTATCCCACCCCTCTAGGTGGTCACAAACCACCGAGCTGATCTCCTTCTTCAACGCCAGGTTGAAATGTCACCTCTAATGTTTAGCTTTCCCCTCCCCCTCTCCCTTGCCCCCAGTCTTCTGGCCGCCTTTCTACCTTATCTCTATCTCTTCACAGCTCATGTTACAGCCAGACCTCTATTGTGGTGAGTTGTACATGTGACTGTCTCTCTCCCTCTATGTGAGCTTTTTGAAAACATTTTGTCTTACTCAACTTTGCATCTTCCAGGACTAGACTAGGTCTGGCGTATAGTACTTATTCAACAGATTATTTTATTAAAGATACCCAGGCTGACTTGAGGAGCACACTGATAGCTCTGACCTGATTCCCAAAGGCTTAAATGAGGGGGCGCAGCATCTCTGCACTGACCCAAATGGAGCCAGGTGAACTAGCGGGAATTTAGCAGTTGCCAGGTAACTCCTGGACACTGCCACCACTATTTTTCTTTGTTTGACTCCACTAAAATCTCTGTAGCATGCGTCTATGAAGTATGCAGTGTGGTACCTCTATCTGACCCCCAGGATGACCGCGTGGCTCGATTTCCGGTGGGATAGCCCAAGACACCGCAGCCTAACCTCCCTGTATATTTGGAAGTTTCCTGGCTCCAGTCTCACCAGCTGGCTTCCCTGCTCTCCTCTGCCACTGCAGGCCCCCATTTCCTCCCACCCTCCCACCTGGCATCTTACAGGCCCAGAGCCCAACAAATCTGGCTTGGTCTTTTTAAGAAGCCTCTTGGCTAAAAGAAATAGAGTATGCACCAACGGGGCTACTTCCTGAGCAGCTCCCACGTGTCAGTGGGGGGAAGAAGGGCTGTGTTTGGGGTTCTTCTGTACTATGTTTATCATTTGGCCTTCTGTGTTTTTTTTTTTTTTCATCTTTGCTCTTATTTATTTTACAAAAACTGGATCATAGCATACTGTCTATAGCACGTGGCCTCCTGTGTTTTGTTTTGCTTTGTTTTGTTTGTCAGCTGGGAGCCTAGGGCAGAGAGTCTGGCACCAGTGTCTCTCACGACACTTCTTAACCCCCTCCCTTGACATCACAGTGTGCCCACGGCTTTTCTCTAACTAATCGGAAGGTTCCATGAGGCCAAGTAGAGGCTGAATCATATCACATTCTATCAAGGACCAATGAAGTTTAATCCACAGCCTCGTATTATAGCAGATTCCATAGATGATAAATAAGATATTAAGCTTTTTAAGCCACATTTGTAAAATTTTTATTTTCTGAATCACTTTCACGTAAATTATTTCATTTAGATTTGCAAAAACCCTGGGAGGTTCAGAAAGGTTACTTCCCCAAAATGACCAAATTATCAGGAGGCAGAATTCAAATGAATGCCTTTTGATTCCAGATGAAGTGCTGTTTCTATGAGGCCTGAGCTGCCTTCCATGTTATGTAGCAGTCAACATTTAAAATCCACAAGAGGGATTTATTTTTCAGCCAAAGGTTGAGGAAAGTAAGGACATAAAAACAGAGGTTTGTGTTTTTTCTAAAAGGACTATCTTTTTAATTGAGAGAGCAGCGTAAAAATCCATTGCTCTGTGTTGGGTTAATAAGGACCTAGTATCAATGCTACTAATTTGTAGCATTAGTCAAGCTAGTGATGTGCTGCTTGATTTTGTGTCTGTATCACAGTCACCATTTATTTATACACATATTTCATTCTGGAGAACACAGGGACAAACAGGATTCAGCTCTATTACCTGCCAAAAATAAGTGATTATTCTAACCTTAGATTCAACATGTCTGCCAGTCTCGTGTATATATATGTAGCCAGACGGAAGAAAGGGAAATGTGTTCCTCCCACTGGCCCCTCTCTTCCCTGAGGATCTGAGTACTCTCTCCTCTTCATAGAGGATTATCCTGGGGTTATTCAGATGATGATGCTTTTGCAAAGATAAAACATATGGCCGTTGCCTTACTTAGCCATCTCGATGACCACCGCCAAACTTCTTAATGAAAG